AAGGTACGGGTTAGTTCTAGAAACGTGGCGTCACACTAGTCATGTGACTCGCTGACGCAACAATACATTTTGGTTGTTATAAAGTGATATTCAGGCATATATTTACCTGCTTTAGTAATTTTAAAAAAAATCGCCTATTTAGTTTCCGTGTAAGGGCGGCAAAATGTGGTTCAGCAAGTCTTTGAAATTACCTTGTTCTGGTTGCTTTGTTTCTCTGTGCTATATAGTTGATATTGTTATATTTTGTTCGAGAGGATACTTTAGTAACATATATCATAATGGTTGAAACGATTAACACTGTAATATCCTTTGCTGCCTGAATTTGACATTATCTGAACAATACAAGCGAATATCGTTACAATGTCGACTGGACAAAGAACCTGAGTTTACCTGTTGAATCCAGGCATGATTTCTTGGTTCACTTCTACTTGGTTTTCATCATAACTAGCTTGGTAGAGATTCATCTTGTGGGACAGAAAGCTGACAGAAAGCAATTCACAGATCTTGTAGAGACGACTGTCTATTTGTCTATGCACGAACACACACACACATTCGCGCGCACATTAACTCTTTCGTGTGTGTGTGTCTAAATAAAAAATGTTTCACTTCCCTTCAAATGTGTCCAGTCTGTTTGTTTCTCATGTAACTTAAAACTCTCCTTATTTTCTGATCGAATATATTGTTATTTGCGAGTTTTCCTGTCTGATATATACAGGGGAATCAGTTCACCTGAAAATACCACAATACGTCAAAAAGATGCATATGAAATCGTTACAAGAATGACGTGCTAATATCATTTGTTCTTTATATGCATAATGAATAAACAAAGTCAAAAAGACTAAATCAATAAATTACGTAGTTAATTAAATAAAAAAAACAACAAATAAATAAATGAAAACTCTCAAGTACAAAGAAAAAGTTACATATATCTTGGAAATTTTTCAATAGATTTTTGCAATAGATTGGCCTGCTAGGTAACAGGAGGATCGAACAGGAAAGTTACAAAGTAAACTAAATTTGAAAACTTGACTGAGTTTTAAGCTGTACAAGAAATAAATAGACTGGACACATTTGATAGAAAATGAAAACAATCTTTAATGTGGATACAACAACAACAACAACAACAAAGAAACAAAAATGTGAATTCTTGATAGATAAAGAGACAATTACCCCGACTGGACCAGTGTATGAGTTGGCAGCTCTCTTTCTTTCAAGATAGATCTCCTATGAACCAAGCACAATGAAAACGAGGTAGAACTCTAAAATATAGAAGTTCGATCTTGCAAGAAATTTTGTATACTTTCTCTTACGATAGTGGCCCTATGTGATTAGGCATTGCTTACAAGTTGGGGAACTGAATATTGTAGCTGTAAGAACTTGAAGCACAATTCGTAGCTGACAACTTTATTTCCTCTTATATCGTCTCCATTCAAAGAGTTTCAAGAAATATGAAAAATATTGATATATATGTTATTATAGAAGTTTAATGCCCCAACGGCTCAACAGTAAGTCTTAAATGTTATAACGCTAAGAACCATATTTCGATACCAGTGGTGGGTACAGCACAGATCGTGTAACTTTGTACTTAACAACAAAACAAATTAAAGTTTAATGTGATTTCTATAATTTTTGATTTTATAATTTATGTTAACTTACTTACGAGACTTTTATCTGTGTCCTTATTTAAATAAATAAACAATGTGTTCGCCCTAAGTGTCGTAATCCTTTTTATTACTAAACTTTGTTTTCCTTCGAACACATCGATTGCTCATACCATGCATTTTCTCTAATATCTTGTAATCCCTCTCAATCAAGTAAACTGAAATACTTATTTTATTGCAAATAGAAATGTCTATTAGTCAATAAAAATTATATAGCTTTAACATATATTGTAGTACTGCCAACAAAATCGTTTTTTAATAAGATGTTAATATTTTTTATGAATAAATAGGTGACTTTAATTACTTTTGAGAAATACTTTATATTCGTATTCGATGACGAGGAACCCACTTTGAGACTAATAATGGCTGGAGACGGCTTGAATGGGTAATGAAGAAAAACTTTAATATAAGTTTAACATAACATACCTGATGATGACAAAACTTTGTCGAAAAGTTGTACATTTGCTATCTTTATTCTAAGAATGAGCTGAATCAATTATTAACTTTATTCTATATATTTTACGGCTTCTTTTAAATTGCAAGTGTAGTGAATTAAAATGTATTTTTTCCGAGAAAAATAACAAAATAGAGCTTGACCACTATGATTACTTTTAATTTTATGAAAGCACTAGGTGGCAGAATTATTTTGTTCTATGCCTTTAACCCTAATAGGAATGAAAAGTTATGGTGGTGTGGATGGTAAGTGACGAACGTATTTTGTTCCACTTGGGTTGAAAATATTGTCAGTAAGTATCATACATTTTTATAAATGTAAATAAAATCACGACCTATATTCCCAGAATGTAACTTTATTAGCTCAATATTTTGCATTGCAGCTTTGTCAGGAGCTATCGATATCCTACATCTACAAGTTAAACTTACAAGTTCGCTAGATTAATCCAGTTAAATATAAATTGGAACACTGTCATTCGTCAATCGAACATTGATAAAGTTCGTATTATTATAACATATTATACAAACGTTCTTGAATTTATATTTTTACGACGAATCAAACCAACAATGCTAACTTAGTAACGTGTAACCAATAACTGAATAAGTAAATTATTAATATTATTATTAACATCATTGAATTTAGAATAGAATACCTTGCATATCTAAACCATTTCTTCATATTTGTAATACTAATAGCAAAATATTGAGCTAATAAAGTTACATTCTGGACATATAGGTCGTGATTTTATTTACATTTATAGAAATGTCTCGTAATAAAGTCCAGTTTGTGTTAAACGAAGTTAAGAATAATAATATTATTTATTTTTGATTTTCTCAATTATGCAGTAATTTTTAATTTTACAAAAAATTGAAAAATATGGTTTGTAGTTGTATATATAATGTAGGTTTACATAGCTAAGCTATATTACAGAGGATGGTTTTAAAATTAAAAAGGGGCAATGGCAGTGCAAATCGGGACAGGAGGTAGGATTTTACACAACCTCTTTAACTCTAAACCTTTATTTTTCAGGAAATTGCCAATTAACTTCTTATTCTTAAATACCTGTAAAATGCTGGTCTCCAATACTGCCCATGACAACTCATTTCATATGTCATCAA